CTTCTCTGGGACTTTTAAACACCTCAAAGGGATTCAAAATCGGTTCGTTACAACTGTTGCTGGGGTCACAAGGTAAAAATGGCATTCATGGCCAGCCCTACCTTCTACAAATGGCATTTATATGGAATTGTAGATAACATATGGTTTTAGCCAAGGCAGGCAATTATTTGCCACTATAAGTGTTTCGGAATTATTTGTACTTCTTGAATGAAAACCTAGTCACCCTAGGCTGTGTAGGCTGATTTGTGGACTGATGATGGAGTATTTTCTACAATTCCTTGGATATGTCTTACTACTTGTTTGTGGAAGATCCTCCTTTATGACTCCTTAACTCACTTTGATCAACTTAAGTTGCTACTAGCCTTGAAGCATACGCGTTCCGAATATAAGACAAACGTTTATTTAAATTCGCCCCTGTGAGCAAGTTTTGCCCCTTTTTCTGTTATAAATATTAATAAAAATATTGCGCTTTACGAGTCTAATTGTGAATGCCTACTTGTATCCATCACGCAATTTGACTATGCTGGCACACGGTCAAGGTTGTCTCAAGTGTTGACCTTACTTTTCGAAACCCAATTTTTCTTTATATATTCTTTTTTGAACCTTTCTGTAAAGACGCACAACGATTTTGAGACAATAGCCTCCGGCAACGCCAGCTCAGATAGTGCCTCTTGCTGCCCTTGTCATGGCGATGGCGTCAACTCTTGCCCTCATTGTTGCTCCTGTTCTGGCGACCACTTCTGCTGCAGCAGAACATGCAGTTGTGGAATTGGCAGTCTCAGCGGTCATGTTTGCCCTGGTCATGGAAACCGGATTGGCGCCACAAGAGAAAGCGAGCACAGGCCGGCATTTGTAGGTGAACACTGCAGTCACAGTTTGCCCTGTTCCTCAGCTGCCTCATGCTCCTCACCCTCATCCTCGTCGTCGTCCTCCTCCGCCGCATCGTCTCACTCTTGTCATATTTGCCACAACAAGGACCCAGCCTCTTCAGCCTGTCTTTCACAACATGTGTTGCCGCCCCAACACCAGCATCCAAACAAGTCTTCGGCAAATCAACAAAAGCCATTAATGCACCTGCATCCCAACCACCACCATCACCATCATCACCATCATCATCATCAACAGCACAAGCAAAAGCATCAACAACAACAACAGTGTAATCAAGAGCTTTTGGTAAGTAAGCCCAATGTGCTGTCAAAGACACGCCAG